CACCTCAGGACGGTGTGATGGTTGTGATCGATCAGACTTCCGTGATGTCAACACGTCTACATGACATCACGGAAGTCTGATCGATCACAACCATCACACCGTCCTGAGGTGATTCAACAATGGATCGATAAACGAAAGAGGTACACAAGAGGTACAGACCAACCTTACTGTTAACCACTTTAAGACACCTCCGAACCAATGACTTTTTCAGGGAGGAGACTACTGTAAGAGTTTGTGTTCAAGTTGTTCAAGTTAACTGTTCGAATTCAATTGATTACCTCATGATCTGGTTTTGCGGGTTCAAGCGACTCATGATGGTACTGGACTATTTGCGTGGAAATCGCTGTCTATCCAAAGGGAACTGTCAATGCGCGTAGCTTATGTCAAACATCCCGTCACTGTGTATCCTATTCATTTGTCTGGAACTGCGTTACGTTAGTACTCGATGTAAATGAAAGGATAGGATAAAATCCGTACACCTAGGTTCTCTTTAGAACGTACACTGTCTCTCTGGCAGCCGCAGCAGCTCGGCTTAGGTCTCTTACACTATGCGACAACCAGGCTCCCGACAAGGGAATTCCTCATCACAATAATTCAGTGTCTAATAATAAGTAGTACATGAATGACTGGACAAAATTTCCCTGAAGCACAAATCAGATTTGCGTTGAATAATTCAGTGTGTCGCTGTTGGTGTGTTCTCCGAGCCCTCAAAACTCTCGAACAGGGGAACTAGATAACCCCATTCGCAGTGGCGCTTCTCCGAACTTGCGCCGATGATGTTGCCTAGCCTAGCTAAGAAACGTCTGCAAACAACAACTCTTCCATTTAGAGTATCAAGTTTGGATTATCCCATTCGATTGTTCGGAGACACTAGTCACTCTTGATAGTCTTGGGTGTGGGTTGGGTAACAATTCTAGCTGAGGGGGGGGGGGAGAGCACACCAACCCGCCAATATTCGCATCCCGAGTTACAATCATTCCACATTATATCCAATAATTCGGTGTTTCGCAATCATTTCTGTGGGTTTATCCTCACAGTCACCGATTAGATCGTTCGAACTGATGATTCGCGAGAATTTTTGTGAGCATCATGGTTGATCTTGTTGATGTGTGTGTGTGCGTGTGTGTGTGTGACCCGAAGTCAGTTAATATGATGACCTCGTCTGCAAGGCACGTGTTGCCTCGACCTAATTGCCACGTGTACGTGTGTGTGTGTGTATTCGTGTCATACGCGTTCAGTATCATTGTAGCTGTGATTGTGTGCTTATTGTTCGGAGGTCAAATATTCGTTTGTCCAGTAAGCTGAAAACAATCGGTGCTACTTATCAGCTCGACGCACGCATACACCCACGTCACTGGCGACCAGCGCCATCGTGAGAAACAATCGTGAAAATTCAGTCTTCTAAATCATGTGGATAACTGTTACCGGAATCATCAGCGACGACTACATTGTTTGAGATACCACACGATCAGCCCTGTGTGTTTGACTCAGTCTCGCCGTCGACCGAATTGTGCGACGGTCTCTCCAGTGAGGGTAATTTCAACTGCTATCAACCTTCCCCCCTCCTGCCGCGTGTTTGATCTGTCACTCGTGGCCCTGATTGCGGACTCTCTGGGAATTTCAGTGTGCACCTGTGTGTGTGTGTCTGTGTGCCAGGCTTGTATTTGAAGCGCTCTGAATGATCAAGACAGTCGACTTTTTAGTTTGTTTGATTGGAGCAAGTGTTTGCCGTTCCAGAATGCGTTATGAGCACGGGAATGGAAATTAAAATAGAGCGCCATAGCTTACCACGTCGTCGACCACATTCACCGATTATATTATTATTATATTTCACACTTGTCTGAGGACAGACTGTGTGCCAGGCTAATGATAGTATAAAAAAAAGAAAGCGTTCTATGATTGGTTTGTAGGCTGAATACTGTCAGGTTGCCCAGGTCACCAACCCGGTTATATTTCCGGATGTCGGCTTTTCGTCCCCCCATTTTGGTGAGAAAACACCTCCACCAGGAGGAGGTAGTGAGTAGGGCCTCCTCCGCAGAGGCTATTTCAGACACTTGGTCGTATGGGGACATTTAATGAGGTGCAACGGAAGAGTGACCAGCTACAACCGTAGACACCCACCCCCGACTATACTGAGGATTTCGGAGGCCCATTCACCAATCAACAATAACAATCACTGAATTCGGTCAAGGTAATCAGATACGAAGTGCGTGTGAAGTATGGATGGCGTACTGAAGGAGTGATTCACATTGAGCTGCAATCTCCAGAACATATCCGCTGGCATACTCCGATACGATGATCTGCCACCCTATGTGCCTGTTTCGTAGCGTTTCGACTCAGTGTTTCTCATTACTTTAAAAGTGAACAACAGCCTGTAAAGACCCAATGGTGATCACTTAACAGCCGATTAAAGTCGCTCAAGCGATCGCCCAAGGATTCATTTGTATTACCACGACTAAGTACTGGTTGTTTACAATCCAGTGATGCGAAATCATTATGTATATTTCACTTACTAAACCGATACCAACAACAGTCTGAAAACAGTCTGACTAATAAAGTAACCAAACACATGTAAAGAAGACAAAGAAAGGCTATAAGGTCCCGTTTTTTTCGATGACAATAAGCTATGTTAAAGTTCATTATTATAGACCCCAAACTATTGATCGAACCTTTGCGATGATTTCTGGATACCTGCTACGCCTTGCTCAGTCATTTTACACATGGGCCAACAACAGTTTATGCGAGGTTGTATGTGTGCGTGCCTGTGGTTTTGTGGTACCATAATCGATAAAATGGTTTACTCGATCAGAACTTTTGGGCAGTTCTTTTTGTGTAACTGTGATGAAGCATCCAACTTAATCGGACACCAATGCCGTACGCTTTGTACGGGACAAAAATATTCCCGTTGTAAGTAGTGTTGTGTACCGTAGTTTCGCTCCCATATACTCACACACAGCGTTGCTATACATAACCTTATGGCGAATTTCGTCGTGTACAGAGAGAGCAAGGTGCGTAAGCTGCAGTGGCTGTATGAAGCTCGGGTTGTACTATATCGTGTGTAAGAAAAATGAATAAACTGTCCGGTCATCTACCCGGTGGTCGAGTGGGTAGTATTCTTACCTTCTACTTATGAGGTCCCGGGTTCGATCCGCAGTTGGGTCGATGGATTCGCGCACTGCACGGATGAGACCCATCCAGATTGAAACAGCTGTCCAGTGCTTTTCAGCTTTTCAGTTCACGTTTCATTTGCACTGTGCCCGATGCAATTCACCATATTATCAAACCAAATCCTCCATTACTGTCGTGTAACATACATGTTCATTAAATGATGGACCCTGACCGTTGTACACCCCACCCTGGTGTTTTCAAACGCACCGGATACAAACAACAAGTTTTTCGCTTATCAGTCAGAGTCAACAGAAAGATTGTTGGAGCATATGTTTCTTTGTGTGTTGGGGGGGGGAAGGCTGATTCATCAAAGAAAACAAGCCCCATCCCCATTCTTCACCACATACCACCACCGCTGCTGCCATCACAATATGAAAAAACTACGTGGATTGGAGCGTGAACATTTGACTACACGATTGCGCATCCATCATCCAGCCTAATGTTTTCTTCTTTGATCACCTTTACGAATCGTCCGTCAGCTATCAGAAACAATTTTCGACAAGACAGATAAGAAAACTCTTAAATTTTTTCGGGGGAGGGGAGGGGCGAAGGGTATGTCAGATGCAATGAGAATTCGGTAGGTAGTCGGAGGTTGCAGCAGTGATGCCCAAATAATTGTTTTCGTTATCCGCCAACGCTGTGGGTGGCGTTCAGACGAATTCGATTCTGTGTGGAATCGAACTCCAACCCGGGGACAGCTGACTCGGTTGGCGGACAGTGAACTGCCATTTACGGGACACTGGATGAATGAACAACGGTACCAGGGGATGGCGACATGCTGTGCGATGTGGTATGGGAGCCCTTGTTCCATACTGCCCCGTGTGTGTGTATATATCGGGGTCTGGAACAGAACGATGTGAAAAATACAGCTTCCGCTCGATCTTTCGAATCTGCACCACCTTATTTGCTTAAAGTGATTTATATTTATGTGAACACAATGATTCGAAATTTGGGGGCATAGGTGGTGGTCGTGAGCGTAGATCGGGAGGTCGGTAACAGGAACCAAACCACGTTTCAAGATCAATGACCTTATTTACGAATCAACCAATCACTTGGGTGTTTTGGCAATATGTTGCATATCATGAAAAACTTGAGTAAGCGATGCTTGGAATTATAAAACAGAATCCTTTTCGGGAATTCAAACCAAGAAAAGAATGTTTTTGGAAACGTTCCGAACTCAGTGTCAGGAGCTTGGATTCCGCGAATGCGGTTAAATGCGTTTTCGTTAGGTCGAAAATTCAACTTCGATGAGAAAAAGAAACACTGATTTTGCTTTTCCTTTGAAAATGACCCAACAAACAACTTCGAGAGGTTATTTACATTGAGATGTACGTCAGATGAATAGCTTGGTTTGAACTACGCTGCAGCTTGTCAAGGGTAATTTACTTAACGCAACAAGTGATTCACAACTCATCTGCAAGTACGATGGTGCCCACTCCATTGACAGACTGGAAACGCTCGTGGTCTTACGCTGCTGCTCTGTTTACCTCTTTGATTTCTGTGCACCTTAAAGTTTACAGAAAAGTATTGTTTCGCCCAGAAATTCCTCTCACTTCAGAAAAGATTCAATGGTGATAATGGTGACGGTGGACTGGCATGTGGTTTGATCAAAGCTACTCATATTCACACGTGCGGCGATAAGTCTCCTCCAGGACTTAATGTGTAATCACTCCAGGGGGTTGACGGCGATAGCAATCGTATTTGGAATTAATATCACGAGTTACTAAAACCTTTTTTTCACAGTCGTTTTACCATAGATGATTGCTTAAAAACGTATAGGGTGACGGTGTACTGGGGTCCATAAGGGAAGCCATCTTGTCTGTGATCAGTGAGACTTCAGATAATGCAAACCACAGGCCTGGAAATTGTGCTTGACTTTACTCACTCATTCATATTGTTGATATGTTTGAATGAACACACCTGACGAATACCGTTCCTTTCAATTTTCCTCGGTATCAACTCCCCCCCCCCGCTCGTGTTTTGTATGCAGTCCAAGCACACCAGGAGCGTGAACAAATTCTCCTGATGCTGTTGTGCGCCGCGGTACGATGTGATCGTCGTGATCACTTCATCCGAGAAATTCTGGAACGCCTCACACCGGACGTTCAAACGGGAATTATGGACTGTATCAAAAATGTGAGCGAATCTGAGTAATTACATACAGACACACCCTCTTGGTGTATTCTCGGGGTGTTTGTTTTCGTGCTTTACTTTTACTTCACTACAGGTAACCGTATCTTTTTTTTGATTTTTTCCTCACTCCGTCGAATCTCCATCACGAATTGATAGTCTTGTGTGTTAATCGTGACCAGCCCCC